GACCGAGTCTCCAACGTGGGAGGAGAAATAAACGAGTGCACGTAGGCTTTCGCGACCAATGTTATTCATAATCAACGTTTTTGGCGAATTGCCCGATGATGCTGGATGCAATTACCAGCGAAACGTCGTACTCAAATTGTAAATGTTGTGGTTTCACGCTTCAACACACCGGTGGGCTAAAGCAGTGAACTATTTGTCTTTTGTCAACGTGACACTTTTTTTACTGATTGGCCGTGTCGGGTGGTGGAGGGTTACGACACATTTATAAATAACGCGATCTAAACCCAAAAACGTTGATTATGAATAAACGAGTGCAGTTCAGGGCAACAATCACCGTGGTAGTAGCGACAGAAGAGTGATCAGCAGGCAACTGACCGCCGGTGACTTACCGCTGGTCACCCTGCTTTTAGCAGTTGACAGAAAATAGAAACAAGAAGTAAAGAAAAGGCGAAATAATTGATTCCTGAGTTGAACCGCAAGCCCCAGGAATGATGACAGTTCCTTGAGTCACGCTGGGGTGGAGAGGTGCATTGTGAAATGCCACCACTCCCTCCGTCTCTACCCTCGATCTTACTGTTTCTGGCCTCTCTGTGTGATAATGGTTTGGGACCTCCGCTTGGCAACCGAGAGTTGAACACACACATGCACACCCACCCACATGTGCCTCGATGGAAGATCAGCTCCAAGCCATTGACTCTTCTCCCACGGACGAGCAGTGATTGACATTCGGCGCAGACATTTATTGGTAATTGGTAATCAGTAAATGGATTCAATCGGGACTTGATGAACACGTAGTTGGTAATAGAGTCACGAATTTACGGTGATAATGTATACAGATAGCCAAATGGAGCTCTAGACAGCCAGCAAAGAGAGTATTTAGTCTACTCTTCCCACTGGTTAGACATCTTGGTGTATGTACCCACACTTTACCCTACCACAAGCATCCCTGACGATCATCTGTGTTGAACCCGTTCATACTGCATGCTGGGTGGGCAGAGGTGCTGGGTGGATTTCAGACAGCAGATTTTTACTTATTCATCCTGCAAGAATCCGACGAGCTATGGAGCTCTTTCTCACAGTCGCCCAGTAACTTTTCACAGATGTTCAGGAATTTAATCAACGTGCCCTGCTGTCTCAGCTGCCGCGCTGCTCGGAGGCTTGAAGCGGCCCGCGCCGACCGTTGGCACCACGGCAGCGTCCACAACTCCCTCGCGTGGAACGCAAATCCGTGACGAATACCGTGGGGGGGGGGGGGGGGGGGGGGGAGCCAAGCGACTCGGGGCTGCCTCGTTGGGGGGAAAGTTCGCCGATGGGTCACGGCGATAGGGCAGCGCCTAGCGACGGCGATGGAATGCTCCCGCTCCATTTCTGCCGGTGGGTCTCTGACCGAAGGCGACCCGGTTACTCGACATTCCCCTTGCTCTGCTGCGGCGCTCACGTGCATTGGAGTGAATGCGCAACGCGAGTTCCTCGGACTTAAACCGATGCAAAACCGTGGGCCCCCCTCCCCCCGGTGGCTTCCTCCCCGTGCGCGTGGCATTTCCTGCGGATCGTGGGAGCCGTGGTGCCCCTCTGCAGGGCCTTGTTATTATATCGGCCGCAAACATCAGGACGGCTCGCATCGCGTACGTTAACATTTATTGGTTTTCCTCGGCTACTACAAAAAATATAAATATATAAGACGCGTACTACTCATTTGGTGCGGCGCACCGACTGACCCAAAGCACGAACAAAAGCTCCGCTTGTCAAACCGAATTTTAGTGGCTTTGAAAAACGGCAGACCCAGGCAAAGGGCTTAAAGAATTCCACTGAACCCAGACAGGATGGGAGATTCTGTGAAGTCCGCGCAGGCGCAACACAAGAAAGATGAATTGACGTTCGAAACAACGGCAACTGTTAATCTCATCACGCCGCACAAGTTCGAAAGAGTTTCCTGCGCCCCCCCGCTCCTCCCAAGCACCACGCGCTGAAGGGGGCTGCGGAGTGGAAGCTGGAGCACGGCAGCAGCAGCAGCACGAACGGCGAGGCGCCGTGTGACGTCGCCACCGTGTCCTGTAAGGATCTCACAGCAAACATTTCTCTCGAGTGCCACCGATCTGGCTAGAGCTCGGAAGCTGAGCAGAGTTGAGACAGGCGTGTGCTTGACAGGGAGACTGCTTGGGATTAGCAAGTGTTGCAGGCTTGGGCTGTACAGCAATGGATTCTTAAATCTATCTGTGCGTAGCCTCGAGTGCTGTTTCCTCGCGTGCGCTGGTTTTCTCCGGGTGTTCCGGCTTCCTCCCAGATGAAGACGCACACTCATTAAATCGCGGCTACCAAACATCTCAATGCACCCATCTCAAGCCTCCATAAGACCTTGTTTCAGTCGCTTTATCTCTCTCACCTGAAGACGGTCGCTTGTGTTGCGATCGAAACGTCGTTATCTATTCATAACTTTCTATCTACGCGACTTTACCGAAAGAACCGGAGAGTATCTCAATGCAGGGCCGTCCTGCTGAGCGAGGGACTGGAGACTCATCTGTGGAAATGAGCTTCTCGTAGGATTTCTCCAGGATAAATCAAGATTCTGATTCTGCCTCGGCAAGGCTTTTTCGGTTATATCATTAATTTCCACTGATTGTCATGATCGCGGTGTCATCGGCAGAGATGAGATGGTTAATATTCACTCAGTTCGTGTTTATTACAGGATAAGGTGATGTTGTTTGAGAGACAGTGGAGAAAATTCCACGCTTCGCGCCTAGAGAAATAACCACCACTCTTGTCAGGGTAGAAACAATAAGAGCTCCTGGGCGAGGTGGAATAAATGTGGATCTCGTTAAAGAAGCGGGACCAGATGTTGCAAACAAATTAGAAGGACCCTATTTAGAAAATGTTTACACAGAAAATGAAATGCGCAGACTGATGCCTCAATCATTCTTATATTCAAAAAGGCAGCCAAAACTGATTTGAAAAATTACACGCCATTAGCCTCCGACCGTCGTAGATCGAAATTGTTCACAAAGATTATAGGCAACCCAATGAGGTATAATTTAGAGGCCAACCAAACATACGCACAAGCTGGATTTAACAAAGGATAAAAGGCCTTTCTGCTATGGACCACGTAATACTATCAATCAGATTCTAGAAAAACACATACCACATGCCATAATGCCCTGCTTGTGTACGAACACACATTTGATTCTGTGGAATTTGACGTACTCAATCCAGCCTTTTATATACCGAGGCTTAATAAGGTACATAGAAAAATTGCATACTGTAAATATAAACATTTATATACTGAGATTATATGAACAGAGGAACAAAATGCAAATCCGAAGCAGTCAGGCAAGGAGATACGTTGTCACCAAGGATACTCACAGCAACATTGGAACATGTTTTCCAAAGATCATATATAAAATAGAGGCATTTACAATGACGGAATATTTACAAATTCTTCTCTCAGATGTTTGCGATTAATTCTGATATACGGTAACAGTACTACGTGGTATATTACATCCCTTTTTGCCATGTAAAGTATTGTCAATCACCCACCCGGGCATAGCAAATGCCCCCTGCGTAGTGTGTCAAAATAAGTAATAAACATGAAATGCAAGAAAGAATATAAACGAGACATTGCAAATGAGAAGAAACAAATAAATTGTGGCGTCGTGGTGGAGAGTTGTTATCTCCCTCGCCTGACATGCAGGAGGCTGGAGGGTTCGATCCCGGACCCTGACGATGTCTGTTGTGTATCTGGAGTCCACGTATCATCTCTCTCTCTCTCTGCGTGGTGGTCGCGTGGATTCTCTTCCAGTTTTGCCCTCATTCACGCTGAGAAACAACACGCGTGTAGATCGTGTGGCTGCGACGATAAATCCTCACCTGTGACGACATCAACCACTTCGCTGAGCTCTCACCTGTGGCCAGGCCGCCTCTGAACAAGAGCTCATCGCGCAGTGGGCTGTACCTGGTAAAATAAAACACATAGGTGGGTTTCGTATTGAATTCTCTGGGAGGGTGAATTCTTCAAATGTTGATGATGACACCCAGTAATCTCTCACTCACCTGCGATGCACGGTTACATGCTACCACAAGTACCAGCGTTGTGGCTTTGACGGACACACACACACACAGCTACAGCACAGCTACAGCACAGCTACAGCGCAGCTGCTGCAGACATTCACACTTCCGAAGCACATTCATCGCAAGGCATCGCTTCCACAGCACCTATTGTAGACCGCTGTCGCTGTGTTTGCATGCAGATTGATCAAGATCACAAAGAACACGTGTCTCGATGTGCAATGCACACAGAAGCACGTGTGTAACACGAACATGGGCGCTCAATGCCAATTATGATGCCATTGTCCGTCACTTGGGCCGACTCAATTAAATAAGAAAACAAACTATTTTTGGGCCACCGCTTCAAAGTGAAATACCATGCAAAACAACTTAGAGAAAACAAATATTGCACACTCAGCCTTTGCTCTGCATAAGTGGGAAAGATCTGTGGTTCCAAGCTTATTTGACGCTACTTGACCTAGGAAAGGTCAGGATTCTGCCGCGTTGTAATGATTCGAAAACCGGCCTTCGGTCGGCTGCCGTGGCGGTCGCAACAATTGTAGAGTTTCTTAAATTCCCTCCGCCTCTGTCCACCCACGAGTATAAATCGGTTCACGACAATTGGTCGCTCGGCAGGTCGTGTGCGGCGGGGTAAAGTGTGGATGCTCCCGCCTCTTTCAAGACGTCTGGCCAGCGTGGAAGAGTAGGCCAAAGTAGCCTCTAGAGTTCCCTCCAGTGCAGGCCGTTCCTCCAGCAGTGGCGCGAGCGAGGCAATTGCAAGGGCTGCGCTTTTACCAACAATATAACACACACGCACCCAGCTGCGCTGTTTTATGGAGGGATGGCACTACCAGCATCCAGCAGAATGAATGAAGTCCGTTTAAAAGAATTATTATCAATTCGAATGAGCCTGCAGCACCGTTAAATGTGTCGTTTTTTTCGTGTTGTTTTTTAGTGCCCCCATATGGATGATTGTTCCACAGGGGATGCAACAACAACAACAACAAACGTAGAAAACTCAAAGTACGACGACGACGATGATGATGATGAGAACAACAATCGAACGAGAACCACAAAATACCGACAAACACAACAAGCCCAGCCGGCCGACCGCCAAGCGGAGCCTGCAACTGCAGCGGGCGCGTGGCTCGAAATGAAAGCCGCGGCAAATGAGGGGCGCACGGGCGGACTTGCGAGCCCTCCCCCCGTCTCCAGCGCACGCGAAGCTCATCAATCACCGGCGGCGAGCGAGGTGAGATCACAGGCAGCAGAGAGGCTCGCAGAGCGAGCGGGAACCCAAAAATGCCCCGCACACTTACGCATCCATTTATGGGGTCTGCCCCCCATTGATGGCTCTCCCTGGAGGCCCGGGCAAACCTCTTAGCTCTAATCAAACGGTCGTCCACTGTCACTCTCTCTCTCCGTCTTCAAGTCACATTTTAGTTTATTTATTTATTTGTTCATAAACACCCCGCCCCCACCTGCCTACTCCCCCCCCCCCCAGCCCCGACCTCCAACGTGACCCAATGGAGAGTGTTTCACCATCTCATTAATTGGCCCAGCCGATGTTGTTCTCTCTCCGCGCAGTAAACAAACCGAGTGCCGTGAGTGGCTGGCTGCGCAGCGCGGTCGTGCCGTGATGCGTGCCCTGCGCTGCAATCCCAGCGGGGCCGAGTTCGACTCCCGGACACGCACAGCATTTGGTGTGCGTGCGGTATCTTGACCTCGACTGGGCCTCCCGCAGGTTGACTCAGCCTCGAATTAGTACTTGGGGTATTGTGATTGAACACTCATCTCAGCGCCGGCAAGGAGGCTGGACACGTGTGGCTGGACAGGTTGTCAGCCACACCACCCCATCGTGTGTCGCGCCGATCGTAATCGATTCTTGCTAATTGCATCTGTCGCTACAGGGCATGCGCACTAGTGACGTGTGTGCTGTACTGCTGTGCCAAGCCATGACACGTGTCTGAGAAATAGCCGAAGCTTCGGGAGGCTTTCATCCAGCAGTGGGTTGATGTTGGCTGGCGATTGTGATACACTTCTAGAAGTTGACGTTGGAGAAGTTGGGGGGGGGGGGGTGGCGCCAAGATGTGGGGATTCCATTCTGCTGCTGTTTCACGCTTGAATTCAGACATCAAGGCAGTGGCATACATCACAGCAGCTGTTCTTACGAGGATCCAAATCAAATACATCTGACAGCGAGCCGCGCAGAGGTCGGTCGGCTGAGAAGTGTCCGTCCGCACCTTAGAGACGCCGTGCGTTTTAATTTCGTGCCTTCCCACCGCCAATGATTTTACGTAACACTTGCACAATCCCCGCATCATTTTGAAATATCGATGCAAGCGGACGTCAGCTTCTAATTGGTCGCGTATTAAAATCACCTTTAAAACCGATGCCCCTTTTATGTAATTCCCAAGTCAAAGAAAGGTCAAACCACGGCAGTCTATCAAAGCCGCTTGTCAAAATACGATCTAACACCGCAACTCGGTAACGCAATTTTTCCAGCCTCTTCTTTTTTATTTATTTCCTTCTCTGGAAATGGATCTTGCTCCGAATTCCCAGCTGGCTCCGCGGCGCTTTATTGGCTTTTGAGTGTCATCTCGAGCGGGCGGAGGTGCGGGGGTGCGGGGCCCGCATCTTTAGGAAGACCCCTCGTGGGAGCGCCGAGCGGGGACGCGCGGGGCGGCCCCAACCACAAAGGCGGAGATCTCGGGCCACTACCCCCAGACTGACGGTCCTCCTCCTCCACCACCCCCCGCCGCCCCTCCACCGACGGACGCACCCCAGAGAGCACCCCCTGCCACCCTCACCCACACCCCACTCGCGCCCTTCACCGTTCCTCCTCTGCGCCACCTCGGCTGCCGTTTTGCACCTCCCCTGTCTTCTTACCCCCCCTCTCTCTCTGTAAGCCCCCCCCCCCACCACCACCCACCGCATCGCTCATCTCATCCGTGCGCTCTCCCTTGTCGTCGTTATTTGCCAGAGTTCGGGTTTGTCGAGGGCTTATCGGCTCGCGAGGAGTCGTCTCGTTCCTCGATTCACTTCACTGTCACGTGTTGACGTGCGCGACGCTCGAGACGCAGCATCTGCGGCGGATCGCCTCGCCAGATCGCGCGCTCTGGCCACGGTTACGGACCAATACGCCCCAGGTAATTAATATTACAAACGAGTGTAATTATGATGATGACACCGCTCGGGTTGTGCCAATGTCACTGTGGTTAATTCCCATACAGTTTCTTCTCTTGCAGTGGGGTGATATGTATGTGTGTGAGAGAGAGAGAGAAAATAATTGAACGGATAAGGCCCTGGCAACGCTTGGATATAAAACAAAAACGTAGCAAGCTCGTTAGACGCATGCATTAAACCGTGTTCTCTATCGCAGTAAACATCGCGCATTTATTGCTTATTGGCCTCTGCGCGTGTTACTTCCCAGTGTGTGTACAACTCGTTCGACGGTGAGCACGTGACGAGTCATGATCGGACCGCTCTATGATCTCCTCCGCTCGCTACGAAGGTGTGAGCACCAGCGTGCACCCCCAGAGTCGATGTCCCATTCGTGCACCCCCAGAGTTGATGTCCCATTCGTGCACCCCCAGAGTTGATGCCCCATTCGTGCACCCCCAGAGTCGATGTCCCATTCGTGCACCCCCAGAGTCGATGTCCCATTCGTGCACCCCCAGAGTTGATGCTCCATTCGTGCACCCCCAGAGTCGATGTCCCATTCGTGCACCCCCAGAGTTTATGTCCCATTCGTGCACCCCCAGAGTTGATGTCCCATTCGTGCACCCCCAGAGTTGATGCCCCATTCGTGCACCCCCAGAGTTGATGCCCCATTCGTGCACCCCCAGAGTCGATGTCCCATTCGTGCACCCCCAGAGTTGATGCCCCATTCGTGCACCCCCAGAGTCGATGCCCTATTCGTGCACCCCCAGAGTTGATGTCCCATTCGTGCACCCCCAGAGTTGATGTTCCATTCGTGCACCCCCAGAGTCGATGCCCTATTCGTGCACCCCCAGAGTTGATGTCCCATTCGTGCACCCCCAGAGTTGATGTCCCATTCGTGCACCCCCAGAGTTGATGCCCCATTCGTACACCCCCAGAGTTGATGCCCCATTCGTGCACCCCCAGAGTTGATGCCCTATTCGTGCACCCCCAGAGTTGATGCCCTATTCGTGCACCCCCAGAGTTGATGCCCCATTCGTGCACCCCCAGAGTTGATGCCCCATTCGTGCACCCCCAGAGTTGATGCCCTATTCGTGCACCCCCAGAGTCGATGCCCCATTCGTGCACCCCCAGAGTTGATGTCCCATTCGTGCACCCCCAGAGTTGATGCCCCATTCGTGCACCCCCAGAGTTGATGCCCCATTCGTGCACCCCCATAGTTGATGCCCCATTCGTGCACCCCCAGAGTTGATGCCCCATTCGTGCACCCCCAGAGTCGATGCCCCATTCGTGCACCCCCAGAGTTGATGTCCCATTCGTGCACCCCCAGAGTTGATGCCCCATTCGTGCACCCCCAGAGTCGATGTCCCATTCGTGCACCCCCAGAGTTGATGCCCCATTCGTGCACCCCCAGAGTCGATGTCCCATTCGTACACCCCCAGAGTTGATGTTCCATTCGTGCACCCCCAGAGTCGATGCCCCATTCGTGCACCCCCAGAGTCGATGTCCCATTCGTGCACCCCCAGAGTTGATGTCCCATTCGTGCACCCCCAGAGTTGATGTTCCATTCGTGCACCCCCAGAGTCGATGTCCTATTCGTGCACCCCCATAGTTGATGCCCTATTCGTGCCCCCCCGGCCTCCCCGAGTCAGCGGGAGATCGCATCTGAGGGGGGGGGGGGTCTCTCGTCTGGTTCATGAACAAAGAACTTCGGCCCTCCTCACTGCACGGGCACGCACACGGAGCGCAAGGGAGACGTTGTCAGAGCTGGACGACAGGGGGGCTCTAGTGGCATGTCTGTGACGCGCGGGCAGCCCCCTGCCTCGTTGCATTACGCAACTCGGGGGCTGGGCAGGTTAATTACGATGATGCGGCGGCGGTTGGTGGTGGTGTTGGTGGTGGTGGTGTTGGTGGTGGTGTTGTTGGTGGTGGTGGTGGTTGGTGGTGGTGGTGGGGTACAAATCGGCATAAAACACCTCGCTAAACGGGCCAGGTCCTGGTTTTCCTTTCAGCTGTTGTGCTTTATCCTTAACGAGGGCTATTCCGTCCATCACGGCAATCTTGACAAAACGACCGTTTTGCTCTTCTGTCGTCAATAGGGAGGACGAGGATTTGGACGAAGCTTTGTCGTGAAAGTAATCGAGATGAAGGCGCAGCCCTGCAATTTCCCTCGCGCGTGTGACCGTTGGCAGAAGGGCCTCCACTACAACACGGAGTGCAGCGAGAGGGAGAGAGAGGGACTCCCTGCAGAGGGTTTTGTGGCCTCCTCTTTTACGCTGACCAGACGTCCCGGAAGAGGTGGTAGTACCCACACTTTACTCCACCACCACCACACGCCACCTGCCAAGCATAGACCACCTGCGAACACGTTGACACTGCTGGCTGGACAGAGGCAGTGGGCGAAGAAAACCGAATCACCCAATGGCAAACCGTTGCAAGAAGTGGTGATCTGAACAACACGCATGCCATTTTTTGTAACAACTCCAAATTTCTAAATGTATTTAATGATACCTTTTTTACTCATTTAAACTTAAGGGCTTTTTTTCCCATTGCTGTGCCGCATCAGTCCCGTCGCGTTTAACGTTTCTCTCGCTGTCATTTACGACCCTCGGTCACCCCTCAAAAGATAAACTATTTGGTCCCAATGGGTTCTCTCAATCATCACCATCACCAACGTCATCAGCCAGGACCAAGCCACTGCTGGACCGCAGAAGGGCCTCCTCCTCAAGGCGTCGCCATCTCTCACAACCCTGCCACGTGACGATCCGCCGAGCGCCAGCACGAGCACCGAATTCCTCGCTCCATCTCCCTTGGCGGACGTGCTCCCGAACGAGCAAGGGGCGCCCGTCTGGGTGGTAAGGATGATCGCTCCGTTTGCTCGTGGGGGGCTCGGAGACGAGCGGTGGGGGGCTCGGAGATGAGTCGAGTGGGGGGCTCGGAGGCGAGACGAGCGGGGGCGGGGGTGTCTCCAGGCACCGAGACGGTGGTGGTGTTTGCCGTTTGGCTGCCGGTTACGACGCGTCCCGGCACAGCGCTGAGGACGACGACCAAACGATGGCTGCGCTCGCCGCTAATCTGGCGTCATTAAAGCGGCTTTACGTAACAAACAATCAATTTTTAATGAAGTCCATTTAAGCCCATTGCTACAATGGGCTTACGCATGTGAAAAAGGGCTGATGCAATTATTGTACAATTACAGACAAAACGTGCAGGGTGTGTGTGTACTGTACTGCTGAATGCAATTTTCATTTTAAGTACTCTTACGCGCGTCTACGTAAACATAGCATGGATGTGGCGATTGCGCTAATTGCGCCGCTGGGCATAATCTCTCCGAGCTGCTCGCAGTGCTGCCGTGATCGCACTGCGCGCGCTGTGCCCACAGGCTGCCCGGCGACGCCGACAAACTCAGTGGCGCTTCAAGCGACCTCTCGTTTCATTCGTCTTCTCGGTGACACAGGAAGGCACGGGGGTCCTGTGGTATATGCCCACCGGTCACTCAAGTGGCCAATTACGAAAAAGAGATTTTTCAGAAAAATAGCGGTTTAAAAAAACACATTCTTATGGAAGGTTATTAAGATCTTAATTTTGGAGCTTTCGTGACTGCAGGAATTATTCTTTGGTTTTTTCGGAAAAGTCACGTATAAAAATAAAATAAAAAATTTAATTTATTATTTTATTTTTATACGTGACTTTACCGAAAAAACCAAAGAATAAGGTAATTAAGATGTTTATGTATTTTTAAAAAACCTCTGTAGACAATGTGGACATTCGTGGGTTAAGAAGAACTGCACGAGACAACAGAATGTTCGGGGGGGGGGTTTCCCCACCGAAATAAATCGTTCAACTCTCATCATGAAGTCCGTCACACGTCACGTGTGCGCGTTGTGTGTTTTACAACGGGTACGGCCACACTTAGTCGATCGGCAGATCGCGTGGGGTGGTGGCGTAAAGTGTTGCTGCTGCCACCTCTTTCAAGATGTTCCGTCAGCGTGGGAGAGTAGTCCAAACATGCCCTACACAGAGGCTCTCTAGTCCGTCCTCTTAGTGGAGGCCCACTTCACCAGCAGTGGAGCGAGCGAGAAATTGCTCCCTCCTGCCTTCGTTATCCGAGTTTGCCGATGGGTCACGCCACAGACACAAATTGGTGCCACAATGAGTGAAATGTGCCCATTACCGCATGATGGCGAAGCACAATTCTGGCACACAGACACACTCTGTTGTCGCAGCAATTTATACATTTTTTGAAGTGACGACTCGGAAATGCTGCCAAGATAGAAAACCGCGGACGTCACGGACGCGGCACACGAGAAACTCAGAAATGATGAAGGGCAGTCAGTCTGAAATTCCCGGCTGAGAACACAACTTATTTGACGCAATTTTCTATCTCGTATATATTTTTTTATTTTTTTATCGTGCGAGGTTGTTGTGGTCGTGGTCGTGTCAGTGCCATTTTGGGAAAATGACCACGTCCTGTGTTCGCCTACATCATCCATAATTGCATCGTTGATATACGGCTGCGTTTTGGAAGTAATCATATATACAGGCAGGAAGGATATTTGAAAAGACATTAAAACAGGCAATTAGAGACGAGCAGGAGCTCACGTTTAAGGGTTTGATCAACGCTGGCGCAATCAGCTTCTTTGTATCCGGTGGACATTTCCCGCTGAATTGAAAATTACATTTTATTCTCACGTCGTGAGTCCTCTAAAAGAGGAATTCAAAGTGCCTCCGCTGTCAAACGAACATGGTGTGGCACTTATCTCCCCTGGCGACTCTGAGCCTCTGGTGAAAATTCCACATTCCTATGGCGGGGGCCAGTTCAGCGATACAAAAACCACCGTTCGAAGTCACGCATCGGTGACTTGTGTGTTGTTTTTTTTCTCTCCTGGGAGCAGAGCTTAATCGCTCACTGAATTTTTTTTGGTACAAAGATTTCCGGCAGGCGGCCTGTGGTATACTGGACGTGGTGTGCCTGGGGTGGAAGCATGTTTCAATAGGTTGTCGTCCCTGGATAGCCACAGTGACGGTGCGCTGGTGCTGCGTTCCTCTCTCTGACGCGAAGCATTTCCGCTCGTGACCTCGTGAACGCCGAGCTCTTTTGCGACCGTCCCGGCCAGCCGCCTGATTATTCAAATGGGTCCCGTCAAGAGTCCAAAAGCGCCGAGGCAGAGCCCCGCCACATTTTGCTCGCGCGCAGTTTCTTGTGAAGCCGCGTGAGAGAAGAATAGCAGCGCCGGACAATAACTCACGGTGAAAATGAAATTTGTCCCCTTGCAAGAGAAATGAAAAGGGTGTCAATGTTTAGATATCTGTGCCTGCATGCGTTAGTGATGGCAGGAAGCTGAGGGTGTGTGGCATTAAACCCATTACGACCGCAATATCGCGTGACCTGTCGTGAGGACATTCATATTAAAAAAAAACCAAAACACTGTGTTTACTTTTTATTACGGCTGCCTTCTGGGCATGTCCGTGAATTATGATTTTATTTATTTATTTTGTGTTCTGTCTCAAGAGTTCACATTATGATGTACGCTGCACGCTGGTAATAGAATACCTATTGAATTTTATCGCACATTACAGAAACACAACCCCACCGTGCCCAAACAAAAAAATCCGCAATCTTAATCCATTTTACGCTTGGTCACAAAAAACAAAAGAAAAAAATTCACCCCCCACCCCCGCACCACTCTGACACGATCTCAGCTTTCACAGCCAGCTGCTCAGAATCCCAGCATGTGCAGCTTCTGGTAAGTTACAGGGAGCGCTCCGAGCCCGGCTCTCTGCTGCACGTGGGTGCGTTCAGACCGCCGCCGGGGCCTCCTGCCGCTGTCCGTGCCGCACGGCTCCCCCGAGGTGCCGTCGGGTCGCACCGCCCGCGTGCTGCTTGGACCACGCGGGCGGTGCGCCGCCAATCTCCTCCGCGAAGAAGCGCCCGGCTCGTGGGGCTAGAGGTCAGACATGGTGACTAACATCTATTAGCTAACTGTGAACTCACTATGTAACTCTTTTTCTAAGCGACCTGGCCACTAATGATTGCTCAACGAAGTGGCCTATCATGTGGAAATGTATAGCATCCAAATGATACTAAATGTGGAGCGAAAAACCGGAGGACCTGGAGAAAAATCCACGCGACCATAGGGGATAACGCGCCAACTCCAAATATACAGCAGGTGTCAGGGTCGGGATCGAACCCACGCCCTCCTGTATACCAGGCGAGGTAGTTAACAACTCACCACATCACGCGGGTACGACTCGTGATTTTGTGCCAAGAGCCGCTGATGAAAGGCCCACAGTGCGACAGTGGAAAGAAGGTGGGAAAACCACACATTTGGTGGTCACCTGCGGCAGAGCCTGATATGAAATCCGAGCCACACCTGAAACTACGTTCACGCAACGCGTTCGCCGATGAGGCTCCTCTGTTCCTACGCACGGCGCCGCATGCACTCTGCTCTTTGTCAGCTCAACGTTTCCCACGGCCGGGCGACTCGGACAGGAACCGGCTTCGCCGTCCGTGGTATTTATAAAGCGCGGAAAATGCACGTTGAGGACGATCAATAGGGATGATCTATCGTGGCCTGGCGATGGATCTTGTTTGTTTGTTTGTGCGAGGCCCGGCGCCTCCGCGCAGCAGCGCTGCCGAGTCCGCGCCGAGCGCGCACCAAATAAAGACGGACGGCGGGAGCCGTCAGCCGGCCGCGTATCACGGTGCGGTTAATAACAATTGCCGGCGCGCTCCGTTGCAATTACGGCGGGGGTCCCTGTGATTTATGGGCCCGGCGGAGAGCAGGGGACGTCATTACTGGCCGCGCATCTATCAACGTCAAGGATACCCCCACCCCTCCTCACTCCAGCCCTGGCCCACAGCCCCCCCGCCCCCTCACAGTCACCGTCTGCCCGCTACCGGCTCCCTTCCGCGGGACGACCTACGGCTGTGGCAGGGCGGAGAGTCCCAACTGGCAGTGGGGTTTATTTTTTAACCCCAAGCGGTGTGAAGGCTGCCCTTGCCTCTGAATGACTTTCCCATGACGAGCCGAGGCGCGCACGGCGCTCACCACGTGGCGCTCACCACGTGGCGCTCACCACTCGATGCTCACCGCCGGATGAGCGCCATGCGGTGAGCGCC